ATTCAAAGTTGAATTGTGAATTTGAGAAAAATAAAACCTCATTCATTTTCATTTAATCTTCAGCACCAAAAGAAGTATTCACAATATGTTTAACAATCAGACTTATTCCCACTTTTTGCAATTTATGTTCAGTGTAGTAAATAAATATGGAGAATCAAGTGACTAAACTTAAGAGGTTTTATTGCCAAGTTGTGTAATGCTTTTCAGAACTCCAACAACATTTATCTTTTGAATGACTTGAGAATCCTACATATGTCAGTAGAGTCAGCACAAAAAAAGCAGCAGAAATTGCTTCCAATATTGTTAACACAATAAATTTTCATGCATTTTCTACTTTTACCTTTGTCACATTAATAATTCAATTCAGCTAAAATTTTTGGAGGATCTCTGGAGACCGTGTTTGGCTTTGAGATCACAACTTTTATAAGTTGCTGAAGTTGCTGATGTTGGTAACTGGGAATCTTTATTCAGCTGCCTGCTCATAATCTTTCTGTTAATTTGAATGTACTGAACCATTATTTGCTCTTCTTGGCTTTCCATGTCACACATTTATTTATTAATTGTAGCGGAACTGGGGTGACAATGGGGCCGGCTGAGAGATTTTGCGGGAGCCCTGCCGATCCGGCACAGAAATGAGGAGCTCTGGCAGCTGCTGTGGGTCTGGCGGCGTGGCATGGCTCTGAGGAGGAAAGATGCTGTGTCTCCCACTGCCAAAAGTCCTAAACAGCTGGTGGGCCCCTCCCCAATGGTGCCAGTACAAGTGGAAGGTATTTATATGAGGGCCCTCTTGGATTTGGGTGCACAAGTGACATTATTATATCGGGATTTTTATGATAGACACCTGATGCATATACCCATTACAGAAGTTGGGCGATTTGAAGATTTGGGGTATTGGGACTGAGAAGTTCCCATATGATGGGTACCTGCCCATCCAGTTAACATTTGGGCCCTCTATTGCTGGGTACACAGAGACTTTTGACACCTTTGCCATTGTGTGTGCCTGCCCCCCAGGAGCTAGTCAGGGCTCGTTGATTGTGGGGACGAATACCAATTTAATTAGGCGTTTGCTCACCCCAATTGTCCCAGTAGGGAATGACTTGGTTATAGGGGATGTCCATCCTGCACTGTCACAGCATACCAACATTTGGTGCGGGAGCAACAGGCCCTGGCAGAGGGGGTGGGATGATTGTGGAAATTAGATCGAGCAAAGAGGATATTGCAATCAGGGGAAGTGGTGTGCTTGTGAGCCTCTGTTAGATTAGATTGGGAACAGCCTGGCCTTTATCTCATCCTCGAATCCGATCCTAGAAGGCAGAATGCCGGAGTGGAGGTAATTCCAGAGGTGGTCTCTACAAAGGCCTTACAGCAGGCCAGAGGACAGATTTCAGTTGGCGTCCAAAATATTACGAACCTCCCTGTGAGGTTGAGAGATCGGATGTTGTTGGGGCAGGTGAGCCTAGCCACCCCAATTGCGCTATCTGATACTAGGGAAAAGACTGAGGGTGAGGTTTTAATAGATCAGTTCTATCCTAAGAACATGCAGCTTTCCCAAGAGTGGTGAGACAGGGCTAGAGACCAGCTTTGGAGGTGGCAACATCTGTTCCCAAAAGATGAGTTTGATGTGGGCTGTGCTAGGAGCGCCCAAAATGTAATCCGTTTGCAGGAGGATAAGCCCTTTTGAGAGAGATCCCGGCAGATTCCCTTGAGTGACTTAGATGATCTTAGAGAGCATTTAGCAGAGTTGAAGAGAACTGGGGTCATCAGGGAATCTCAAAGCCCTTATGCCTCCCCCATAGTGGTGGTCTGGAAGAAGAATGAATCTTTGAGGATGTGTACAGAACCTGAGGCGGATGAACAGTCTGGGGAGCTGCTGGGAAAGGAGAAAGTGCCGTTAGCTCCAGAGGCCCCAGGGCTAGAGGAATCTATAGAGATAGGCCCAGTTATTCCACATGCTCCACAACTCCCAGAATTAGAGAGGGGCCTCCAGCCCTAGAGATCTTTGGGGATGGAAAGTCACGGGAGGATGACTCTCGTATTATTGCCGAGCCCAAAGTACAGAGACCAAGGCGGGTGATACACCCAGCTAGAAGATTGACATATGATGCTTTGGGGGAACCAATGAATTTTTGGGTGGGGGGGAGTATGTAGCAGAGCTGGGGTTAGAATAGGGCCGGCTGAGAGGTTTTGCGATAGCCCTGCCGATCCAGCAGGGAAATGAATAGCTCCAGCAGCTGCTGTGGGTCTGGCAGCGGGGTGTGGTTCTGAGGAGGGGAAAAAAAGGAGGAGAAAGCGGATGGGAGGGGGGAGAGAAAGAGACCGGAGGGAGGGGTTTTTGGCAGGAGATTGGGCGGAGCCAGCTGAGGAAAAGGAGAGAGAGCTTAGCTTAATGGAGCCTGCCATCCAGAGCTAGCTGAGCGAAAAGATAGAGAGAAAGTAAGAAGGCCAGACGAAGAGAGGGAGAGTAGGTTGGGGAGTTTTATTTCTTCTCCCTTATTGGAGCCAGCTGGGCGAAGAGAGAACCAGGAAAGAGTTTGACCGGGTTGAGGGTATGTCTTTTAGTGGGAAGTAGAGGGGTTTTTATAGGATCCACTGGAGGAGGCAAAAAGGGGATAAGGAAGCAAAGGGGGGGATTACGTATACTGAGAGTGGAGACAGATGAAGAGAGTGGATAAAGGAGGGCCCATGTGAGCTCCAGAGAGAGACTGACTACCATCGCTAGAGGCAAGTTGTTGTTATCAAAGACTGACTAACATTGTCTTAGGCAAGTTGCTGTCACCAGAGACTGATTACCATCACCCTAGGCAAGTCGCTGTTACTAGAGACTGACTAACATTGTCATAGGCAAGTTGCTACTATCAGAGACTGGCTAACATCGTCCTAAGCAGATTGCTGTTACTAGGGATCGACTACTACTGTTGTATGCCAGCTGCTGCTACCAGGACTTGACTACCATCACCTCCTGTAAGTCTTACTGCCTGATACAGTACGATAAAAATGTATTATAGCAACCTTTTTTTCAACTTCAGGAATTACACTTGTCAGAAATGGACAACAAACAAGAAGACTTATCCCACGTGAGTTACCTTTGAAAGAGATTGGCCATCACCGCCCTATGTGCGTGGCTGCAAACCATGACTGAACATCACCGTGCTATGTGCCCTGTCAGGCAGAGGTGCCAACATGAGAGATTCCTTGGGTCGGTAGCCAGCCAAAGAGGAGGCCAGGAGGGCCCGGACTTTAGTGGTCCTTTTGGAGGTGGCACTACATAATTAATCTTTTTTTCTTTTTATGACCTTTTAATCCCTTTGTTTTGGGGTAGAGTCAGGGTGACTGAGTGTAACTGAGAGTTTACTGGCTGGATGCCCTTCCTGACGCTTATGCAGAGTTCACAGCAGATATTTTCTCTTTGCACCCTAATAGAGAAACATCTGCCACTGCCTAAGATCGAACTTCTGAGTGGGAGAAAAGTATCTTCACCTCTAGGCCGTGGCGTTGCTCATCATTAATCAAATTTATATAGCCACCTATCTCCCCATTTACACTAAAATGAAGAGTATATACTTTTTGAAGTATGGTTTTCCTTTTCACTTAGATTTGAATTACTTTGTACTGTTGATGAAATTTTGATCTTAAAAGGAATATCACAAAAGTATTGGCAACATATATTAAGTGTTACTTTAAAAGCAATAACAAAACTACCATGTTTCCCTGAAAGTAAGGCCTACCCCCAAAATAAGCCCTAGCTTGATTTATGGGGTGGGCCTAATATAAATCCTCCCCCCAAAATAAGCCCTAGTGTTGGGGAGAGGCACACACCTAAAAATCAAGCTGGGGTAGGAGTGTGGAGCTGCCCCAAGTGCCCCGTACCCATTTACCTTGCAGCCAGGCCTCTCCTCGCTGGCTGACTTCTGAGGCATTTTCTGCAGCAGGCCTGCATTTCTCAGTCACAGGCCTTTCTGGAAGGCCACTGCAGCCGGCAACTGAGATATGGATTCAATCCATAGCTCAGTACTCAGCTGCAGAGGCCTTCCATAAAGGCCTGACTGCAAAATGCAGGCCGGAATGCAGCTGCAGAATGCAGCTGCTCCTTTGGCCACAGAAGAAGTGGACTGGCTGGGCGAGGCTGTTGGTGCTTTTGGTGAGTATTAAAGATACCCCCCGAAAATAAGACCTGGTGCCTCTTTTGGAGGCAAAAAATAAAATAAAATAAGACCCTTTCTTATTTTTGGGGAAACATGGTAGATGCAGTATGATAAAAATGTATTATAGCAACCTTTTTTTCAACTTCAGGAATTACACTTGTCAGAAATGGACAACAAACAAGAAGACTTACTAGCTGATTAGTGGGATAATAATCATTTTAAAAGAAGAGATAATAAGTCTGTACCAATTGGCGTAGTGGTTAATAAGCTGGCCTAGAAACCAGGAGACTTGATTTGCTGCCCAGAGTCATTGGCTACGAGATGGGTGGCAAATACTTTTCATAATAAATAAATAAAATGAAAGCCAACTAGGTGACCTTGGGCCAGTCACTCTCTCTTAGCCCATCCCATCTGACAGAGCTGTTCTTGTACGGAAAATAGAAGGAGGAAGGAGTTTTATGTATGTTCACCATCTTGAGTTGCTTATAAAGTAATAAATGCAGAATTTTAAAAAATCTGATCCTATTATTATTTAAATTATTTAAAAAATAATTTCATTTATCTTTCAGGAAAGAACACTTTAAACAAGAAATTACAGAAATATCTATATGTACAATAAGTATATCTATGACGCTATAGCAAAATCGCTAAAGTATACATGCTACACAGATAAACATTAATTTGGGATACAATTTTTTTTCAGAACTCTACCCAAGCATAAATGATGACACAAATAAAATTTTAGTGAAATTCCACTGGGTCAGACTCTGACACAAAGCAAAGTAATGAAAGAACTTTAATTTGATTACAGTATCTATTAAAAAACCTTTCTAGTAATGTAAAGAAGGAAATACTTACATGCAATACGGACATAGGCCTTCCTACTCTTGGTTGTGCCTGCGGAACTCCAAGCCACACACTGGCACCAGTAATCTTCAGGTCCAAAGAGTTCTTCAACTTGTTGCCGTGAAATCTCAATGCTTACCTCTCGAACAATGAGTCCTACCAAAACATAATCAATATGTCTATACTGGTTTCAGAATTTGGCATTTTTTAACAGTAGGCAAGTAACTCATTGGTGTACTTTTTCTAAAATACAGTTTTTAGAGTCGAAGCTGCTTCAGATATTTAAAAACAACAGAGAAAATGCAAGCCTTTTGGAGACCCTTTCTCAAACTCCAAGAGATCATTCAGAGGCAAGGATTTCATTTCTATGTTGTAACAGAAAACTGCCCAGCCCAACTGTAACAAAGAAGTCTTGAGAAGAACACAAAAATTGGAGATAGGAGACACCTTAGACTTGCAATTTGGCCATTTCTAGGAACATGACACAGACATTCTTCTGTCTTCCTCTTTAAAAAAATAAAGCTGCTGAGAAATCTGAAAAACTCGTACTTTATCGGAGAGTCCACCATAAAGTTTTTGGGACCTGTTCACGTAGCTGCTCATTTGCTTCTTATTATTGCCACCCGCTTTCTCACTTATTCTTCCCCCTTTTAATCCAGAGGAAATAAGCAAAGCAAAATAATAGAAAAGCAAAGGTTCAGTGAGATTCTATCTGGCAAGGGAATGGATAGAGAAATAAGGAAAAATGAGCGGCAACAGTAGAAGACAATAGTTTTAAAGAAGTAGACTGCTAAGGGAGGAGAAATGCTGAGAAATAATTCCAGTCTTACATGTATCTGTAACTATCTTACTGAAGAAGTGATGAAGGTAGGAAGAAGGGAAAAATATGCATTTTTATAAAATATATATTTTACATCGTTAGGCACACAATTATAAAACAAAGTTAAAATTAGTAGATTATTGTCAGTGCCATAAAATTAATCAAGTTATGCTCACTTACATTAGTTGGGCATCAAATAGCTTTTAAACTGAATCATGTTTTCTCATTCTTAAAAAAAAAAATCTTTTTCACATAGTGTAAAGCCAAGCTAGTGCTTGCAAAGATCATAGCTATCTAATATAACATACCCCAAGCTTGCAGTTTAACTATAAGTTTTAGAACCCACACAAGATTTACAACATGCTGAGTAGCTTTCATTTACCCGATCCATACTGTGATTTTAAATTACAGTATGATACTGAGTGACAAAGAAGAAACACAGCACTTCCATTGTTGATAAAATATTTATTTATACATTTCACATCCAAGGGTTTGCTACAGACAGTTTCTATTGTTTCAGTTATTAGATTTGAATCTATTTTTATTATATTTTTATGTATTGGGCTTACAATAATGCCTATATTTGCTTTACAATGCCTTTAAAATTCTTTTTCTATTCTTGTTCTTTTTCTTATTAGAAGAAATGAACTGTTATAATTGCTATTGCTTAGTTTATATTCTTGTGACCTTGTTGGATTGCCCTAAATACAAATGTGCTAAAATGCTATGTTCTCTGTAAGTGTAAGTGAGGAGTCATAAGTAGCTTAGAGCCTGGATGTCAACAAAGCTAATGGAATAGGGAAGAGAGGGCATATATACAGCATCCTATCTGCCAATCATAAAAGATCTAAAGTTGGAGAGTTGCTTGAATGAATTCAAACCTGAATGAAGCCAAGCTGTGAAGGTGCTGTCTGAAGCCTAAATGAGGGTACAGGTGTGAGTCTAAACCGGGGTAGGCAACCCTGGCTCAGGAATTCTGGGAGTTGAAGTCCACGAGTCATAAAAGAGCCAAAAGGTTGCCTACGCCTGGTCTAAACCAATGTGATGAGAATCTCCAAAAGAAAGTCAACCTTTGAGGGAGTAGAAGGGTTTCATTTCTAGTTGCTTGGTGGAGGGGATCTTATCATGTTTTCTGACAGGTGGCCATTCCTCTCAGCTTAATGTATAGCTTTTTTTTTTTTTGGCAATAACCTTTTTAACCTATTTCATCTTTCCATATAAGGTATATTTGACGAACAAAGAGCAGATTAGACATACAACTCTTGATTCTGCATCTAGATACAGTATATTATTATTCTATTCCTATCACTTTTATTTCCTATACAGTAAAGTTCTTCAAGTAAACACTTGCAAAGTTCCTAAAATCAAATTAAGTAAAATATATTTAAATGTATTCTTTGCTTTCTTTCGATATATAAACCGAGCAAGGTATTTATGAAGGATATACTTTGCTTGCTGTGTAAATGTTGCATGCATGAGTGAACGTGCCAGATGAGTAATTCATAGTCCCTAGGTAGATGATACAAGCCAGAAGTACTTGGACATATGCTCTGGATCCTATGAATCAAATGTTTTAGGTCACAATTTAACCTTAAGCTATTTTAGTCTGTGTTAGCATTTTTTTTTCTCTTTTGTACAAGACTTTCTTATTCGGAGTTCAAGAGGCACGTTTTGTTGCCCCTGGCTCCAAAGACAAAGAGGCCTAAGGTCTGTCTTTACAGTGGAAAATTGTGTTCTGCAAAAGCACTGATTACAGAAAGCACACAGTGTGAAGTAGACTATTGTAGAATTGTTAAAAGCATCAAAACCCACACAAATCTGTTGGCAGTAAATGAAAAATGTGTCCAGTTCATAGGGTACAGTGGCCAGAGAAGTGGAAATAAAGATTATTACAGTTGACAATAGAGGAAAAAAAATAGATGCAGGAATGAAACCTGACCTATTAAATATATATATATATATATATTAAAAAAGTTATGATATAAGGCTAGCCAGCTTCCTTCTTAACAGTTAAGTCCAAAAATCTAGATGAAATGTCAGAAAAAATAGGGCAATTAAAGCAAATTAAATAGTAAATTTTCCACCACATCTCCATCAGAATCTGAAACCATATGACATTTTCTTAAAACAGTCTTGTAAAATACTGTAGTCTATTGGCATCTATTTTATTGTAAGTTGCATGGAAGAAGTTCTAAGGGTAAGGTTAAAATATATTTTAGATAGTTATTCACATTCAAAAATATTTTTATCAGTAAAATATCTTAAAGAACTAATGGGGTAGGGGGTATGGTGAGAAGATTTATTGCTAGATTCTAATTTCTGAAGACAGATTGAATGTAGGAAGAGCTTTCTGGCACTAGATTTCTTCTGTTCTCCGGGTAAACACTGAATGTCTTTTTTGTTTCAGTAGATGTAAAAACAGATATTAAAAGTACACAAAAAGTGTATATTTATTGTATCTTTCAACTACATGTTGAAAGAAAAACCCTTTTATTTTATAGGATATTATCAATTCAGTTATTTTGCAAGAATGTTAACCTATAATAGCCTTAATTTTACTATAATTCATGGCTATTGAGTTTTTTTAGGGAAATATTTGTTAATGTTGCTTATTTTGGATTGGTGATACAATAGACCATGAGATTTCCTTTTTTTGCAGAACAATTGTACTGTGAAAATTGCTGGCAGCATGTAACAAAGTTAACATTATTAGGCAGACCACACTTTTGTGTAAATCACAGACACCTCTTTATGCTGCTTAAAATCTTCTCAGGCACTTGATAACAATATAACCAGATAAACATTTATTTAAAATTAGGCTCTATTCAACTTCAAACTGACTCAGGGCAGTTCACAATATAATCAATAATTTATGCAAAACAAACAAGATGGGACCTATCTTGTTTTTTCTTTTTCTTTTTATGACCTGTAATTCCTTTTTATCAGAATGGACTCGGGGCGACTAAATGAAGCTGAGCGTTTACTGGCTGGATGCCCTTCCTGACGCCTAGATGGAGTTCGCAGCAGATATTTTCTCTTTGTGTCCTGATAGAGAACATCTATCACTGCCTAGGATTCAGCTTTCAACCTTCCAAATGGGAGGCGAACATCTTCATCTCTGAGCCAACATGCTGTCCCTTACTCAGCCTCTAGCCTAACTAATTTCTTGTTATCATGATACAATTTCACAAAATCACTAATATCGTAAATCAGCATGTTACTGTTTAAAACAGTAACACTCTCAAACTGTAACACTGAAACAAATAGAGAGACCAAAACAGCTTTCTTCAACTTGTGGAATCATAAGATAGTGCCTGGGCTCACACTCTGTGATACAACACAGTATGATTGTTTGGATTCGGACTTAGTGTGTTGCTGAAGCTAGCCATTATGTTTTTTAAACAACTTTTTATGGCTTACCACACTGTAGCAATAAAGTTCATTATGGTTTATTCAATTGACTTAATACAAATTGTGTGAACACAGCCTGTAACATCTTATTCGGTTGCTGCTAAGGCTTTTGTTGCATTTCATTTCCTTTTTCTTAAAACAAGCAAATAAATCAACAAAATTTATTATTCTTGGCACTTTATCCTTCAAGCTGTGAATTATTTTGTATAAATAATGCTTCATAATAGCATTTTGTGAAATTAAAACACTCAAAGTATACTGCTGTGATTTAAGGAAAGCAACACAAGAAAAACTAATAGAATCTACAGTGTATCTGAAAAACCCAAGATGTTGTGTTATATCCTGCTTTCCTCTGAAGACCTACTTTGATTCCATAAAAGGTCCCAGATATGTTCTTTCTACTGTTTAGAGTATGATTTTATTTAGAACTGCAGTTGTCTCTCAGTTAATGCTTTTTATCTATTTTCCCAGAATTACCTTTAAAGGTGAGAACAACAATTCAATAAGAGCCATCTTATGCTAAGAATCTAACTATGTTTGGAAATGGCCTTGCTTTTCTTCCTAGGCAGACTGCAGTTTCTAATTATTTGCTCAAGACAAGAAACAGACGGACAGATGGTTCATAATAACAGCATTATGATGTCTTAAATGTTCCAGTATCAGCTTTTTGTTGGGGTTATTTTAGATCACTATAACAAGAAACAGCTTTTTAGTGTTTTTAAGCACTGGTTGCCTTCTATCTGTTACAAATTATCTGTCCTCTCTTCCTTGGTGGGCTCTTTCTTGTTAGAAATTTTCAAGCGTAGGCTAAACACTCATTGCATACAGTTGTCCTTAATATCCTGCATAAACTGGAATATCTGCCCTATGGGAATTTCCTCAATTGTACAATCTTCAGTTGTGCGACATATCATTCTACCATCAT